GGACACTTGGCTTTCGCCGGAGATATATCTGAATGAAACCCTGGTCTATGTCGATATATATCTGACTATTAATGGCATGCGAAGGCTTAAATTTGTTTAAAGAATGTTACTTAGTCCGGCACTGAACGCACAGTCACACACACACCCACACACACACACCCACACAAAATCCGCTCCTGACCGAAACAGCTAGCTAAGTCTCAACAAGAGGGCCTTCAAATATTTAAAAATGTGTTAAATCATGCATTTTAATCGTTGAAAAATAAAATTTCGTTTATTTAGTTAAACCTGTTTTAATTGTGGGGGTGATTGCGTCATGATAATATTTTTGACATAAACTCCATAAGAAAAAAACTGCTTTTAATTCTAATTAATTTAATTTTTTGCTGTTTGCTATTTCCATTTTCTGTTCCTTCCATGACAAAATAAAAAGCAAAAAAAAAAAAAAAAAAAAAAATGCATATAAATGCTGGTGCATTGTTGTTTTTTTTTATGGGGTAGGCGGTGTCTGGTTAACTTTTAGCCCCAATCTTATCTGATCAACACCTATTCCTTAGCAGCTGCATACAATAATTATGTCGTGGCAAATATAAAAGTATTCCTTAAGTATCACTTACATGTTATCTAATTGGTTCATTCATAACAAAAACTTCATGAACGTCTACCACTGTTTTTTTTTGTACCGGTATTTATATTTTATTTTCGACAATGACATTTAACATGTCCATATATCTGTTAAAGCTATTCCTATAAGCTAAAGACCATTTGAGAGTACATCACTATCAGCATGGCCGCCCGTAAACAGAGTCATAAGGTGAAAAATTTACTGGATGAGAAAGTGTATGTGGACACGCTTCACCTGAAAGCAATGGGGGTAAATAAAAATGAACATTTAATGTAACCGGCTTTCTCTCATAATAATATTTTCCTAAAGAATACTGGGGCTAATGACGCTTGGTTACCTAATTTAAGGAAGCCATAAAGTATGGTGTCCAGATGGGAATCACGCCCCCCCCCCCGTGCAAAACCCCCCCTAATCTTCAAACTTGTGATGCCAAAAAAATTGATTTCCCCGAGTGTGTTTCGGATAAAAAGAGGCGTCTGGGCTTTTTTTATATTTTTTTTTTTTTTTTTTGTGTGACTGTCGGCTGTGTGTATAATGGCGTGTACCAAACAGAATGCAGTTACGGCTTTGTTTTCTGAACGGAACTGACGTCTTTGTAGTTAAGGATTTGCGTAAGACTATTAAGAAAGAGGAAATCGTACTAGGTTTTATTTTCACTCTAAGTAATGAGACGAGCAATTATTCTTTCCAAAAATTGACATTATAAGTAAGTTCTTTGTATTCTAGATTTTGTTTTACAGAAATAAAGGGTGTAATAAATCTGCGTTTTAAAAGCGGCAGTGACATTAGAACAGTGGTTCTTAACCTGGGTTCGATCAAACCCCAGGGGTTCGGAGAGTCAGTCTGAGGGGTTCGGCGGAGGTCCAAAAACAATCAGGGGAAAAAATTCATATTTTATTTTTTCCTGATAAGAAGGGTTCGGTGAATGCGCATATGAAACTGGTGTGGTTCGGTACCTCCAAAAAAAGGTTAAGAACCACTGCATTAGAGCATTAAGCGGTGTGGGAAGAAAAAAAAAAGAAGGGGGGGGCAGACAATAATTGGGATTCGTATAAAGTTTGAATTAAATGCATATTTTGTCAAATTTAGATCAGTCCCCCCGTTACTCGATATTACATTATAGGCTATAAAGGATTTTTATGAAAAACTTTGTTTCTAGGGTTTGTTGAATTATTTTATCGAAATGTAAGAAACGCAACTATTTGTAATAGTTTACTTCTTAACGTCGAAAATCACAAGTTAGGCCCTATATGCAATCAGTGTTTCTTTCAGAAATTTTCCCCCGAGGGGTCACTTCAGATTTTCGGGAGGGGGGGCACTTCAGATTTTTCGGGGGGGGGGCACTTCTAAGCCGAAAAAGGTTTGTGAAAATTTACTGGAACACACTCTTTCCTTAAGGGCAAAGAACAAATACATTAGTGTACACTATATAGCATACTGCATTTTATTGACCAAAACCGTAAGTTGTGTTCATCAGGAATCGCAAGTGAAATAGTTGTGAACAATTAAGTAGGAAATTCTCAGAAGTGTTTTGTGAGGAATGTATGAATACTTTCTGAGTCTGAGATTGAACTTGTCACTTGTTCAATGTTCATGGAAGGGGGAAAAAAATGAGTTACTGACAACTAACAACTGACATGCTGTTTAAAAAATAAATTGCCACAGTCGACGTATGTCAGAAATTATATCAAGCACCAACAGGTGAATTGTGATCATTAATTTCATAATCATTATACAATCATATTTCGGACATCACCCTATTGACGATTGAATCAGGCCTTACCAGGGGGAGACCGTAGCGCAGCCTGCGGTCGTTATATATTATATAGCGTGGGCCGAATGGCTAATCTAATGTACTCGGACAAACGAGTCGTATCACTCGTAAGAACGTTAAGAATCTGGACAAAATAGCATCAAGAACAGTGGTTCTCAACCTTCCTGATTGATGCCGCGACCCTTTAAACTCAGTTCCTCATTTTCTGGCGACCCCCCAACCACCAAATTTTTTCGTTGCTACTTCGCAACTTTAGAGTATAAGTGTTTTCCGGTGGTTTTAGGCGACCCCTGTGAAAGGGTCGTTCGACCCCCAAAGGGGTCGCGACCCACGGGTTGAGAACCGCTGATCAAAGGCATGGCCTCGAAGCTTCCGCTTTCACCTTAGGCCCTGTCTTCCGTAAATGTCCATGCTGCACGAAATAGCCACCAGTAGGTGTGAGACTAAAAAGAAGGTCGACTAACCGTATGTGTTATAATGGGGACAAAGTATGCATTGGAATCAGAATGGATCGGGGGGGGGGGGGGAGTGCAGTTTGTGGGAAAAGGGGGGAAAAGTATGAATTGGAATCGAAAGGGATGGGGGGGGGGGGGGAGTTCAGTTTGTCGGAAAAAGCCAGAGGCCGGGACATTTCCTGATCTTTCGGGGACGCCGGGACGGGTGGTGCGAAAATCGGGACTGTCACGGGTGAACCGGGACGGCTGGTGAGTTACTTTTTGTAAATATTTTCCAGCACCTGCCGTGAGGTAAATTATCTTCCTGCCATTTTTGTCACCACAGGCCTGCCTGAGTCAACGAAAAGTAAATTTTAACACTCCTATCTTAAGCAAGTTTCTCTAACATTCCCGATTTCATATTTATTGACGGGTCAGTCAGTTACTATAATTTAGAACATTATGGAATGTTGTCAACTGAAGGAATTCATTTGGAGAGTTATAGCGAACTATTGCATGTATTTAGCATAGAGGGAAACAACAATCAGTTAAGTGTGTACAGTGTTCCAGATAATCCATTATAAAAATCAAAATGGAAACCTATATTTTGGGCGTGACCTTCATGCTTTTGTAATATAAAACGGATTCCACCCACTTTATAATCTCTACATTGACATGTTCATGCAACTTGACAAGCTCTTCTGGCATAAGACTTTACATGGCCTATTGGCATACAACTTAACAGTCTATTGACACACAACGTCGCATGCTCTATTGACATATAACTTCACATGCTCTATTGACATATAACCTCACATCATCCATTGAAATACAACTTCACATGCTCTGCTAATGCACAACATGACATTCTCTATGGACATTATTTGACATACAACTACAAATGCGCTATTGACGTACAACTTGACATGGTCTATTGACATACAGCTTCACATATTCTATTGATAATTTTTCAGGGCGTTGCCTGCAGCTCTGAAACATGTATGGGCTCTCTTATGTCACAACAAGCCCATCGACCGTCTGGCAGTACCCTTCGGACAAAAGAAGAAATTCTAGATCACGCCAGTGATTTTTTTGATCAATACTACACGTCTATGAAAAAGTATTTTTTCCCTTTGTCATTGAAGTTGTAATATTAATTTATATAAAAAAAAATCGTTATTGCTCTTCAAATTTCCATTATTTGACAACCCTTTCAATCATTATTTTTTAGCAATAATTTACTAGACTTTGCTGACAGTCCCAATCGTTCCTTGTTACATGTCTACACTCTTCTTTGCGCTACTATGACTTTAATGATTCTAGAGCACAAATTAAAACAAATATTTTTATATAGTGAGTCATCGTACCAAAGATGATGATGCATCTTTGGAGTCATGTTGTGATGCACACCAAAAAAAAACAACAAATTTTGGAAAAAGATTTTTAAGCCATGATCTTTAGTTGAATTCTTCTAATACAGTAGCATTTTCGGATGTTCCTCATTCAGAAACAACACACTAGCCCATATTAAGAGGATGTCAGAAGTTAAAGAGTCTGTGCTTGCATGTGGGACATATGAACTGACCAATGCTGAATTGACATATGGAGCCAAACTCGGTTGGAGAAATTCACCCAGGTGTATTGGGAGAATTCAGTGGTCAAAACTGCAGGTGTGTTGGGAAGACAAGTTGTCAAAAAATTTACATGTAACGGTAGAATTCTAGTTGTTAAAATTTAAGACTCAGGTGTTTTGGGACGTTAGGTGGTCAAAACTTTACATGTAATGGGAGAATTCTAGTTTTTAAAATTTAAGCTTGAGGAGTATTAAATTAAAATAAGACAAGAAAAGGGATAGTGTCACAGTAAAAACAAGTGTTAGTATGTTCATTGGCAGGTAAATGGGGAGAGCTGCTGAAATTGTAGAGTTTGGATATTTGGGCAAGCAATCCATTTATAACCACCACTTTATGGCACATATTATAGTTTGTTTTATACCATTTGTATACCTATAAAAAGTACAGTGAACACTTAAATTGAAAGATTTTTTTTTCCATTTGACACTGGTCATTTTCGCCTTTGGTAATTGGGACACACTTGTCTTTCAGCAATTTCTATGTTTTTTTTTATTCCCTTCTTAATGTAGAGAAATGAATTCAATTGGCTTTATGACTTTGCTTTGTTTTGTGTAAGTAATTGATATGGATCACCCATTTGTTATTTAAATTATTTCTAAAAATCAAACCAATATTACACAGGTTTTTGATGCCAGGCATGTCTTGACGGCTCGAGGAATGTTTGAGGCTATATGTAAGCACATCAAATATGGCACAAATAATGGCAAATTAAGGTAAAGAGACAAGGTGATATATATAATATATCTTTATAACATAATTTAGCTAGCTCAAGCTGCTCTCTTTTGTTGTTTTGTTTTTTAATCTTGTGAATTTTAAACCTTCTTGTTCATCCATTGGCGGTATTTAACTAGACAAAAACATGATGGAAAACCTTTAAATTGGATGAAACTTATGCAAGAGGAATTTTCGAGATTTAGCTATGCAATAGATCTCCGACATTATTATTATTATTAAGGTGGTTTTATATAGTGCAGTACCCCAGCCTAGGGCTAGGCGCCCTGCACTTTAATTGGCAATTACAGATGATTATAATTATTAAAAACAACAATTGGTAAAAAGCTTGACCTCATACACCCAAGTACTATCTACCCCTGTCTAGCCATGGTCAGCACCCAACCCAAGTACTTTCTACCCCTGTCTAGCCATGGTCAGCACCCAACCCAAGTACTTTCTACCCCTGTCTAGCCATGGTCAGCACCCAACCCAAGTACTATCTACCCCTGTCTAGCCATGGTCAGCACCCAACCCAAGTACTATCTACCCCTGTCTAGCCATGGTCAGCACCCACCCAAGTACTATCTACCCCTGTCTAGCCATTAACAGCGCCCAGCAACATCGACCGTTTTTTATCAGTTAGAGGGGGTGAGAATGAGTCGGCATAGTACAGTTTGAAGAGATGGGTCTCGGGGGCAGTTTTGAAGGCTGGGATGGTCTTTACATTGCGGATGTGTAATGGGAGAGAATGCCATTGTATTGGGGCACAGAAAGAGAAAGATCGTTCACCATATGTTTTAGTGCGTACTCTGGAAAGAAAGAATATGCGTTTCTGCGGAGGAACGAAGCTTTGGATGGGCTGAATGGAAAGATAGAAGTTCATTAAGAAAGGATGGGCAGGAACCAGAGAAAAAGTTGTGACAGAGAACAAACAGCTTGTAATCAATGCGAGCCTGTATAGGCAGCCAATGAAGTGAGGGAAGTAGATGTGTAGCATGATCACGTTTCTTTGCCTTTAGAACTAACCTAGCAGCTGAGTTTTGAACTTTCTGCAGTTTTTCTATTTCTGTGAAATGTTTGGGTGACCTGACAGAAATGAATTACAATAGTCAAGATGAGTGAGAAAAAAGACAAAATCTAGTGTTTTTGTTGCGCTAACTGTGATGAAGTCGTGGATGGAGCTGATCTGACGGATAGCGATGTTCGCAGAACGACAGATGTGAGAAATATTATTACTAAGAGACATGTAAGAAAGAATGAAACCAAGATTCCTAGCAGCGGATGTGAAATTTATATTGGAGCTACCTACATGAAACGAGAAGGGAAGAGCTGAGTTAGAGGATGATTCGTGATTCTGAATGAGGAGTGCTTCCGTTTTGTCACTGTTCAGCTTCAACTTGAAGTCATCCATGACTTGACATCACCAATGCACTCCTGCAAGGTGTGGATAGCGGAATTGAAAAGAGAGGGATGACATAGGCAAGCCAAGGCTTATACTTATAAACTTATAACTAATGCTATTAACTTCAAAAAATAGTATTTATATTTTAGATTTCAGTTAATCGAAATTCATTATTATAATTGAAATATTATTATTAGGCACTTCTACTTCTAGCTTTTGCTCTAAAAATATTGACAGATTTTAAAAATTAAATGAATGTTTTACATTTCGGCAATCCTCCGAAGTCCGGCCCCAAATCATTTCCAATGATTACTCCTTACTTAAAAGTCTTGGGCATCATTCTGTTTTGAAATTCATGTTTGCGTTAGTGGACGATTTTGGATGGAGATTGTTGGCCATCGAGATGCGCAAACACTCAGCGCATTATCACTAATAAGGTGTTACCAGGGACAACTATCGTCACGGACGCTTGGCGAGAATATCAAAATGTCGGTCAGCTCAACAACGGGATGTGTGCTCACGCTGTCATTATGCACGCTCGTGAATTTGTTGATCCAGTAGACCAGGACATTCACACAGAAACAATTGAAGGACTTAGGATGCAAGCGAAACGTAAACTCCGCTATCAGAGTGGTAGGCCTGCTAGACGCGATCTGTTTGCCAGCTACTTGGGGGCCTTTCAGTGGCGCAACAGTGACATTCAGAACGTTTTCGGCTGCTATTTGCAAATGCTATGTCTTCTTCTTCTATATCTTAAGGGCCCACGATCAATTTATTGATCATTTTGGCTACTATGAGCTATGTGCCAATGAAACATTTAGTATTTACTGACTGGTTTGTAAAGATTGGTGATTGCAATTATTGGACAAAGAGAAAATGCTGACATTTTAATTGCTGGTTGATTAGATGAGACAAGAATGGTGTAAGCAGGTTTCATAATATTTAATAAGGCAATCAATTGCTATGCTATAGCTTATCAATGTAAATGTTGTAAAGATTAAAGAAAAACTAGCAAGACATTTATTTACGATAATATTTAGACTTTGTCAAGACTGTAAATACTGTAATCAAGTTTTAAATTGACTCTATTCGTAGATTCTAGTTGTTAAAAATGTTTTAAAAAAAGGTCTAAGAAAGTTTTTTTTAAAATAAAGCAATAAATTAGTTGTTCCTTGCCTATTTCTATATCTTATATTTTACAATGATTGTTATTTATTCATTTATATTATTTTCTTAGCGTGGGGGATAGGGGTTAAACAATTATTGTTGACGTAATGAATTAAGAGGGTCCTTAAAAGATTGAGAGCTGGTGATCAGTGGGATGGAGGGGTGCATAAATGGCCTGAAACTTTTTAAAATAATTAATAGACAGCCCCTTAGTTCCTGGTTAGCCTTAAGTCCTTAAGCTAAGAATTATAGTCAGTATAGGTTAATTGTGGAATCTTCAAATCTTTTTTTTTTCATGTAGGCAATGTAGGGTTATCTTCAGTCTTTCAATTAAAGAAATTGTGTTGTAATTTAGGAGCTACGCCGCTAACAATAAAAAAATTATTTCTTTTTTCCCTTATAAATTTCTTAGCCAACAGACTGCAAAATTATAAATGTAATTATTAAATATTTCTCTGATGACAGTGAACATGTTTTTATTTTACAGATCATCCATTACAATTTTTCCTAAACGCTTAGAAAGTCGCCCAGATTTCCGAGTTTGGAATTCCCATTTGATACGGTATGCTGGCTACAAGATGGACAATGGGACAGTGATTGGTGATCCTGCCAATTTGACATTTACTGAGGTAAGAATTATTTTAAGTGTTGATTTCTAAGCTAAAGTATTTTTATCTCCTTCTGGTATTAGTATAATGGGAATTTACTGATAAGCTTGTTTTGGACAAAACAATGATGTACTTGAAAAGTTAAAAATTATTTTAAAGAAAGGTTCCTTTAAAACAATTGAATTTTATTTTTACAGATCTTTGATTTTTTTTTTAAAATTTAGCAATGCATTAAGCTTGGCTGGAAACCCAAGTATGGGAAATTTGATGTTCTTCCACTAGTTCTTTCTGCTGCTGGAGCAGACCCTGAAGTGTTTGAAATCCCTCCTAATCTGGTCTTAGAGGTCAAAATAGAGCATCCCCAGTAAGTTAATTTAAGTCATGTGTAATCAAAATGTTTCTGAGGCAATATGCTTTATATTTCAGTAACATTCAATTGACTGAGGAAATCTTTAAACAATTTAAATATTAATTTTAAAGTTAATTAATTAATTAATTTAATTAATAAATTAATTTTTAAAATGTAAACGATTATAAATCAAGATATATTTTTTTATATCTGGAAACAAACCAGTTTTCAAGGGCCAATGTCATTCACTGCTGATGGATTGATTTGTTATTTTTAATGATTTCCTCATCTCAACACTGTTTATCAATGTAGGTTTAATTAACAAGTGAAACGTCTACTCCTTAAAGTTGATCTGGTTGAGGTCAGATGATGAGCTTATATCTATTATTAAAAGTTGATCTGGTTGAGGTCAGCCGAAGAGCCAATATCTTTCCTTTAACGTTGATCTGGTTGAGGTCAGACGATGAGCTTATATCTATTATTAAAAGTTGATCTGGTTGAGGTCAGCCGAAGAGCCAATATCTTTCCTTTAACGTTGATCTGGTTGAGGTCAGATGACGAGCTTATATCTATTCTTAAAATTTGATCTGATTGAGGTCGGCCAATGAGCTAACATCTATTCTTTAAAGATGATCTGGTTAAGGTCAGACGATGAGCTTATATCTATTCCTCAAAGTTGATCTGATTGAGGTCGGCCAATGAGCTAACATCTATTCTTTAAAGATGATCTGGTTAAGGTCAGGCAATGAGCTTATATCTATTCCTCAAAGTTGATCTGGTTGAGGTCAGACGATGAGCTTATATCTATTCTTTAAAGTTGATCTGGTTGAGGTCAGACGATGAGCTTATATCTATTATTTAAAGTTGATCTGGTTGAGGACGGTCGTTGAGCTTAGATCTATTATTTAAAGATGATCTGGTTGAGGAGGGTCAATGAGCTTATATCTATTCTTTAAAGTTGATCTGATTGAGGTCACTCATGAGCCTTTTTTGTGTGCATTAAAGAAGGGACTCGCTAAGAGTAACAACAGCATGATACAAATGATTTCTTTACTGAATCTATTTATTCATGTTAATGTTTGGATAACTTAATTGAATTATTATGGAAGCTTTGTTTCTCATCACTTATATTTGTATATTTAAAAAAAAATTTTTAGATAGCAAAGCATCTACTTGTTTTCTCCCTTATTCCTTTGATGTTCCAAAGATATCCATGGTTTGCTGAATTAGGCCTGAAATGGCATGCTCTACCAGGTGTAGCTGGGATGCTGTTCGACTGTGGAGGAATTGAGTTCCCAGCATGTCCATTTAATGGCTGGTACATGGGGACGGAGATTGGTGCTAGGAACTTTTGTGATACTAACAGATACAATATAACAGAGGTAAGTCTAATAGACATCACATGGTGGAAGTAAGTCTTTATGGACACAACATGACAGAATTAGGTCCTAAAGCTACACAAAACTTTTTAGACATTAACACTTTGTCATTATAGTGGTGAAATTATCAATAATATAGGCCTATTTATGTCGTCCATATAAAAATAAGAAATAGAAAACATAGAACGTGCACATATTTCAGAGAGCTATTTTAGACTTAAATAATGGAAAAACCAATGGAAAAGGGAAAAATAACAACTATATTTTATTTATTATACTAAACATAATACCCCTCTTAAAATGAGACTTTTTGACAATTGTAATTGTTTGTGGCATAGAAGATAAATAAAATAAAGTACAGGGTTATTTGGAACATTAGTATTTGACTTATCCCTCTACCCAACCTGAAGCCTCAAATTATCTTAAAGATTATTTATTATTTCCCCTTCCTTCTTTTCTCAGAGTGTTAGTGACTTATTGATTGACTTAAATTGACTACAAAGTATGTTTTGATAAAAGTCTGTTTAAAATATTTTAAAGATTCTCTTCTGCATCTTCAAGTCAACCCTTTGAATTAATAAAAATTTATTTGTATGTATGTGTGTGCTAAATTATAATGGTAATAAAGAAAAATAAATAGTACTTCCCCATCCTTTCCATTCAATGTGTACATAGCAAAGATAAAATTATATATGATCCCTTAATTAATGTAGTGTTCTGTTTCAATTCTTCCATCTATTTTTATCCATTTTTTTCTGTTTTAAATTTCCATTAATATTTTTAAATTTCACTTGTACAAAGCCCTTTTCTTTTCATGGGGGTTGTGCTTAACCTCTTTTGTGCACTACATATGAGTAGAGGTGTGTTAGAAATACTCTATTAGATGCACCAGAGGAGAGATATTTTTTCACTTGTCTAGTCAAGTTCTAATTAGTGTTGTTGTCTTGTTGATCTAGTTGTTACTATTTATGCATATTTGAAATATTTCTATTGATGTTCAAGTCTTGTTTTAAGTTATATTAGCAATGCAGCCCTGTGTTGTCCTTCAAATGTATTTTTTTTAAATTGATTGAGTTTGATTTTTTATAGTCTCCTGTTTTTTGTTAAGATTGTTGCAGAAAAATTGAACTTGAACACAGAAAACATTGCTTCTTTGTGGAAAGACAGGGTAATACTTGAGGTCAATATTGCAGTACTCCATAGTTTTCAGGTAAAAAATATTTTACATAGTTTCCTCAAAATAAAAGATTGTTGCAAAAATTATATTTTAAATGCTGTTTGATAACGTATTTAATATTTTCAAACTTGTTTTTCCTTTTACAACTTTAAAAAAAAATATTTTTTTTAAATGTACCAAGAGTAGCGGAGTGACCATCACTGACCATCATTCTGCAAGTGAATCATTTATCAAACACATGGAAAATGAGTACAAATTGAGAGGTGGATGCCCGGGTGATTGGGTGTGGGTGGTGCCACCACTGGGTGGCTCTAGTTTAGAAGTTTTCCACCAGGAAATGTTGCTTTATAAGCTCAAGCCCTCCTATGAATATCAGGTTTGTGTTGAAGTGTAAACAATAATTGTACTATAATAAAGAAATAAAGTATGTTTATCAAATTATTTGCAAAAAGTTGATAAATTATTTTAAAAATTTGAAGAAAAAAAATATATTGTAACTTGAACATTTTGGGTTACATTTGATTTGCTATAACATTTTCATGTGCAATATTTAACTCCATTTAAGAGTGATATACCCTGAATTTCTTAGTCTCCTTTGAATTATTTTATTTTTAATTAGAATTTTTAAAGATCCATATAATTAAAGAAAAGTCCGAAAATCATAGACATTTTCTGATCTGACCAGACTAAACAAGAAATTTGAGGAAAAGTGACCAAATATAATATTAATAATCTATTTTATCCCCATGTGTTCAGTATTGAAGACTTAGGCCTACTCTATATATTTTATATCTTTATATTTAAAGGAAGATGCATGGTTGACGCACAAGTGGAAAAGAGATTCTTTAAAAAGGCTTTTTAACAAACAAAAGGAGAAACCCACTTTCAAATATTTAGCCAAGTAAAATGAACTGAAAAATTTGCTCCTGTTTATATTTAGCTACATTAGTTTTATACTGTTACCTTCTTTCATATCTGAGACAATCTCATGTTATCCTTGTATTACTTTAGAAGCTAATTAAATGTCTTCAAATGAATGATAATTATGTATGATAAATCTCAACCATGTTAACTTGCTGTGTTTCAGAGCTGTCTTATTTTCAACAATTTTGATGCGTAAAGCTTTACACAGACGAGTCAAATGCATCATATTATATGCTACAGAGACAGGCAAGTCTGAGAGATTTGCAAAAACTCTCTGTGACATATTCAAGCATTCTTTTGATGCCAAGGTACCATAAAGTATTTTATTCAAATTTTGCATAAACTATTATGAGCAGATATATATTAAATATTAAAAAATGTTATGACTTGCATTTTATTTAAGGAAAATCCCCATATCAAGAATTAAAATGTGACCTGTTTTTTCTTCATAATTTTAAAATTTTATTTCACATTCTTTTCAAATTTACAAATGGATTAGTCCATGTGCTATGTAAACTACTACTTTGTCGGCTGAGTTGTATTACTGCCTCGGAGGGGGGGGATGGTTAATGCCTCGGAGGGGTTTTATTGACCAAAGGGGTTTTGATGCCTCCGAGGAGTGTTACTGCCTTCAAGTGGTGTCACTGCCTCTTAGAGATGTTACTGGTGGAATGGTCCGGAGGGTGGTGAAACTATCAGTATGTTAAAGGGGGGGAGTGGGGTTCTGGGATTAGTTACCTTTTCTAGGACCAAGTGTAACCTGCACAAGTGGGTCTTCATAGTTTTATGAAATAGACAACTGGGAACAAACACTTTGAGAAACACTGCAATAGATAATTTAATAAATGTAACTGCAGGTTACGCAAATGGATGAATATGATGTAAGCAGCTTAGAACATGAGTCCCTGGTTCTTATTGTTACAAGTACTTTTGGCAATGGCGAACCTCCTGGGAATGGAGAGGTAAATTTAAATGAAATTTCGGTTGTCGAGGATGAGTTTTTGCTGACATTAAAAGTATTAAATTAATATTCTTTGATATTCTTTTGATACTTTGACTGATCCAATTTTTTTAAGCAATTATTAAACAAATATGTATTAAAATAAGAAAGTTTAAAAACTGAATGTCTTAATCAATTTTTAATTTGTAATAAAATTAGCTTAAAACTATTTATGCATTCACCATATTATAAGTATTTTTTTTCCTACAGAATTTTGCGAATGAATTATATGAAATGATGCACAGTATGATCTTGTAAGTTAAATGTTTATGGTAGATGTATTTCATATTGTAGAGAAATTCTATAATAAGCAGTCTAACATGACTAAAAATAACATTCAAATTATACATACATTCATGCCAGCTTTAACTACTTGTCCATTTTAAATTTTTCTATATTCCTTGTAAAGATAATAAAGCAACAACTCACCTGGCTGACCTGGCTTATTCCATTATGTTATCAGACAACCCTACAATACCGCCTACTTTATAGGTGCTCAGATATGGAAGAGTCTTAAATTAATTAACTTTTAAAATAAGTTTAATAGGCAAAAGTTTGAGCATTTTGTGCTTTTATTTTCCTATATATCTTTCTTTTGTCTTACTTTTGTTTTTTCCCCTTGAAATTCAAAATTTCATACTCCTTACAACACTGTCTTTCTCAGTTGGAATCCCTCTTGTTTCAGTTTTGGGAGCTATTTTTAGGATGAAGGTGCACACACATACTTGCAGCTTGAAGCCACATCTGTATCAGTTTACCAGATTGTTACAAATTAATTAAATGTATTATTTTCTCGGTACAATTCTTAATTATTGTATACAAAGGGAACAAAAAAATCTTTTAATCTGTTACAGAGAAAAGACTGACTCACAGCTTAGAAGATGTTCAACTTTTGTTAGGATGAGTGTTCAAGTTGAAAAGTTAGCTCAAACAAAAAATTCCACTGCTGGAAGTTCCAGATCATCTTCATTAGCCGACACGGAAATAGGGCCACTGTGCAATGTTAGGTACCTGGAGTTTATTTTTGAAAATTAGTTTGGTTTTGAAACAAGAAATAAAACTATTTAACATACAAAAGAATTATCATTTTTCAATTTCTAAAAATCTTTTGTGATCCATAATATTACAATAAATGTTTCTTTTCCTAATTGACATGGGAGAATAAATAGCCATGGCGTTGACAAGCGTTAACCATACTTATGAACACAACACATTTTTGTAACATGTGTCAGGATTAAGTTATCTTATAATTTATCGAGCAAAATATTGTGTTTAATAACAACATGGTTCAGTGAATAATTTAGTAGCATGTCAAGTACATGTACTATGTGTAACTAACACTTAATTCAACTGTAAGGCTATCCACCAAGTGTCATGGAGGCATCCCCGCTCTAAACACTGGCACCAATTAGATCTCATTATCACAAGATGCACACAACTGGCCAGTGTCCTCCTCACACGCAGCTACCACAGCGCTGACTGTGACACAGATCATTCATTAGTGGCTAGCAAGATAAGGCTACAGCCAAAGAAACTATCACACCAAAAACAAGGGTAAACCATGCATAAACATCTGCTCCATAAAAAACCCAGAGAGAACAGAAGAATACATCCATAGACTACAAGACGCTCTTGTACCAACGCCGCCAATAGACACTATTGAGTCCAAATTGTCACTTTTTCGGGACACTATCTATAACTCAGTTATCACAGCATTTGGCAAGAGAGAACGCAAAAGTGCAGATTTGTTTGAGGCTCATTGGTAGGAAATGAAACATGTCACTGATGCAAAAATAAAGGCCCTCTTTGCTTATAAAGACAAGCTTTACCCAGCAACTCTTACAATCGCTTAAAAGCACCAAGAAAAATGCCCAGCAGGCAGCTCGCCACTATGCTAACACATACTGGCTCAATCTAAGCTCCAGCATACAATCAGCTGCTGATAGAGGAGATGCAAAGGCAATGTACGAAAATATAAAACAAACAACAGGCCCTCTGATCTCCAAGACTGCACCCTTAATGTCCAAATCAGGGGAACTTATTACTGATCAAGATAAACAACTTAAGCGGTGGACAGAGCACTACTTGGAAATACACGCAACAGTAAACCATGTCTCAACCGCTGCCCTGGACGATATCCCAGACTTACTGGTCATGGAGGAGCTTGATACCCTACCCACCACAGAAGAGCTACATAGAGCCATCGATTTTCTCCCCAGTGGGAAAGCCACTGGCAATGATGGTATCCCACCAGAAGCTCTCAAATGTGGAAAAGAAATACTATTACAGCCCTTGCACGATCTCCTTACTCTGTGCTGGGAACAGGGACTGCTACCGGTACCACAAGAGTTGAAAGATGCAAACATCGTTACATTGTACAAAAATAAAGGAGACAAGAGTGACTGCAACAACTATCATGGAATCTCCCTTCTCAGCATAGTTGGGAAGGCCTTCGCCCGAGTTGCATTAACACGCCTGCAGACCCTAGCATCGCGCATACTCCCAGAATCGCAATGTGGTTTTCGCGCCGGTAGGTCAACCATAGACATGATCTTCTCTCTGCGCCAGCTGCAGGAGAAATGCAGAGAACAACATATGCCTTTATACAATGCGTTTGTCGACCTAACTAAGGCTTTTGATCATGTCAGCAGAAGCGGCCTTTTCCAGATCCTAAAAAAGATAGGCTGCCCTACACGACTGCTTAACATCATCAAGCAGTTCCACGATAACATGCAGGGCTCAGTGTGCTATAACGGTGCCACCTCAGAAGCTTTTCCAGTGGGTAGTGGAGTAAAGCAAGGTTGCGTGCTGGCTCCTACTTTATTTGCAATCTTCTTCTCCATCCTACTCCAGTATGCCTTCAAAAACAACAGCGAGGGGATATACATCCACACTAGAGCTCACGGGAAATTATTCAACATTGCCCGCCTTAGAGCTAATACCAAAATAAGAAAGGTCATGCTGCAGGAGTTCTTGTTTGCAGACGATGCCGCTTTGGTATCTCACACAGCAGACGGCCTGCAGAGCCTCGTATCCAGCCTATCCGCTGCCTGCAAAGAGTTTGGCCTGACAATTAGCCTAAAGAAAACTAACATTATGGCACAGGGCGCTGACTCCCTCCCCACTATCGCCGTTGACAACTGCGACTCGGATGCTGTTGACAGTTTCACATATCTGGGATCCAACATTTCGAGCACCCTCTCAATGGAGGATGAGATAAGTGGCATGATAGGGAAGGCCGCAACTGTCATGGCCAGACTGAAGAAAAGAGTCTGGTCAAATGCCAAACTCACAACGAGAACTAAGCTGCAGGTATACCAGGCCTGCGTACTGAGCACACTCCTCTATGGATGCGATTCATGGACCACATACTCGAAGCACGAAAGAAGGATCAATAGCTTCCACTTCAGATGCCTGAGCCACATCCTTGACATTAAATGGCAAGACAAAGTCCCCAACACGGATGTCCTGTCCCAAACAAACATGTGTAGCGTCTCAGCCATATTAATCCAAAGACGCCTCCGCTGGCTTGGACACGTCAAGCGCATGCAACCTGGTCGCATACCCAAGGACAAGCTATACAGCCAGCTGGTGACAGGGAAAAGTTCAGTTGGACGGCCTCTTCTCAGATACCTAGACATATGCAAAAGAGACATGAAGTCGGCCAACATCGACATCTAAATCTGGGAGGACCTGGCAAAGGATCGATCCACATGGTGGGACATTGTGAAGGAAGGATCACTACATGCCGAGGAGCAAACCAGGGTGGAAACAGCTGCAAAAAGAGCGAGGAGGAAGGCCAGCAAATACTGCTCCACAGAGACTGCCACTCGAGGATTGGTCTCACTAGCTACACCAAGAGTTGCAAGCAATAAAGATAATCTATCGTCTCCCGCAGATGGAAAGATGCCATACATACATACATACATACATACAAATATTCAACAC